AGCTAGATTTAAGCGTCAATCAAAACTCTTCTAAGCACAATCTTTATATCTCATTTTATTTAACATATCATCGAATACATTTTTCAATTTTGCTGTTTTCGGTCGAATCTATATTGTATGAGGAAAAAATCATTATTATCACAGTTACTTTTGATCGGGGGAAGACATAGGTAACCTGGCCTACTTAGTTACAATCAGATGATCTGTTTTTTTTTTGTTACTCTTACGCGGTACGCCATTATCAAGCATAAATTATTAAAAGATCTGTTCATACTCAGCAGTCATAATGCTGCACAACTGAGCTAGTGAGTGCAGTTCGGATCCTCCAACAAGTCTTGATGCTACTTCCATATCACAAATCTACTACAATTACCGCATACAGTATATGCCGCCATTAAGCTTCTTGCTAAAGCCACCGGTGCACATACGGGTGAAGTAGAAAATCCTCTTAGAATTCACAGTCTTCCATACTTTCCCCTCTTATCCTCGAATGATTTTACTTTTTCTATTCGCATTATCGTCTGTATGCTCTGTGTGATGTTTGCTTTGTCATACGGTTAAAACGGAATCTCAAGTATGTATTGTACAGCAGGATTACTAGTGGCAGTCGGCAGTGAACGTATCGACGCGAATTAAGGCAAATCTATCAAAAATTGCATCCCAGCTGATGCATTCTTTAAAAGGCCTATTATTTATTGGACACACGTCCAAAGGTGGACCTGTGTTGATAATGAGGATACTTGGTGGCAGTGTACATTATCTAGAAATATTTTTAAATTTATTTTTAATATAACAAAAGATAATTTGGTATATACGAGTACATACATCAAATTTATTAGCGTACTTGTTGGCAGTTTTATTATCTAGCAACATTTTCAAATTAATTTTAATTTATCAGTTAAAAGATAATTTAGTAGATATAAAATTTAAATCAAGTAAATTATAACTTCAGCATTTAATATTCCTGTAATTAATGTTTAAGATTCGCTTATGAAACATGGAATGTTTTACTACCATTACGGTTATTATGGTAAAATTGTGCTGAATATTGCTTTTCTGTATAATTAATGTAGCATTCCTTATTACACGTAACAATTAGAAATTTGCTTCGCTTGTTCAATTATTTTGTGTGTTTTATAAGTGTCAATGTCTTAAAAATATCATTAAGTAAAAATAAACACTTATGTGTTTCAAAAAAGCTAAATATTGATTGTTTCGAAGGCGTAGGTTCTATTATTAGAACCTGATATTTTTGTTATTGACAGCAATCAGAAATTTAAAGGATTTTTTTTAAATTAACTTTGAAATATTTGAAATATTTACCATGTATATACGTGGCAGAGACATGCTGCAGCTATATTAGTAGTATTGTGGCAGGAGTGGGTCGGCTTCACCGGGAAAGTATCACGTTCTTATAGAATACCTGCGAAAATAGCAGCTATGTAATCTTAATAGCTTGACGGATCTTAACATACAGGTTGTTGTTAGAATCATCGTACTTGTAGAAGTAACATAAAATATAAAACGTTTCTATTTTAGTAAACTTTTTTACGGAGTCGTATTTTTAATCTTTTTTTGTATTGGTGTACAATAAAGAATATATTGATTGATTGATATATGATGAATATATTAATTGGTTAAAGACCAACATGGGCAAATATTGTACTATGCAATTCATTTTATACAAGCTTACTTGTATGCTTCTCACAGTCAGCTAATAAACGGCAAGCGCCGCCTTTCATTGATGGCACGACTTGGCACGTCAGCGGCTACGGTTAATTATGTCTGAGTGAAGTGCCATTAGCGTGCCAGAAGCTTATACAGACGTATACGTCTAATTTGAAGTTTTTTTTTAAACAAGGAAGACATTGTAGATATTATTATAATATAGAGAACTACTTTTTGAGTACCTACTATGGTTGATGTCGACTGTAGATCCATAGGTCACTGGTTCAAATCCGGCTCGCAGGACCAGAGAAACTGTAGTGTGTCTAAAGTTTACAAGATGAGTGCATAAACGAGATGTAAGGGAAATTTAGTGTACAAAACAATGAAATCGTTCTGATACTGATTTTTATTGCAAAGGAATAACTCCTGATATTCGTACATTGAGAGACTTCTAATACTGAGAGTATTAGAAGTTAGAGTTTAAATCAGGTCTAAATTATGCTGTGCCATAAACTGATTTTATAACAGAGTTGTTAAATCGTATTATTTTTTTAAATTACTCCTAAAATATAAAAAGAAATACTAAAAGAATATTTTTTGGAAGAAACAAAGAAATAAATACAATAATATAATATTATAATAATATAGCAATACTTTTTGGAATCATTTACCATCGGCGATTTTTACGGATCGATACGATTTACGCAACGGTTATTTATGTCTTGAGTGAGTGCCATCAGCGTGCCAGTAGTTGAGTTAGTTATCCCAGAAGATCACCAGCCGAGCGACCGCGATGGAACCGTACTGACAGTCACTAATCAGCTGTTGGTCCTCGAGCTACCGCATGAGCTGGCTGTTAATAATGGATTTCATTATTTTAGAGAACAAGGAGGTGATGGTGATAAGCCTATAGTTGGACAGATCAGAGCAGTTACCTTTTTAAGGGATCGGATGCACGAAGGCTGTCTTCCATGATTTTTGTGACTACGCCTAGGGAGTAGGAGTACCACAAAAGACGTGTTAAAGCCGGTGCCAACTCCGAAGCACACGTCTTCAGCACAATAGATGGGACGCCATCAGGCCCACCCGACTTGTTGACGTCCAGGGAGAGGAGTATTCTGCGTACCGAGCTTTGGGTGAATAGCACATTCTGGATGGAGCACTCACACCACGGGATGGTCGGCGGTGTGTCCCTCCGTCATCAAGAGTCGAGTTGGACGCAAAGAAAGGCCCATACAATCGACCTCGTCCTTTGCGTCATGCGCTAGTGAGTCGTACTCCTTGTGCAGAGATGGGAGAGATGGCTGACAGAAGTTCCCTTGGACAGCCACAGACCAGAATACACGTGTTCCCAAAGGAAGACGAACCAGTTTCTCGCCAATTCTGTCGATGCGCTCCGACTTTGTCTTGACAATGACACATCTGAAGGACCTAGAGGCAGAATTATACTTCTTTTTGAAAGCGCTAGTATTTAAATTCCAAGACGTAGATGCATGAGTCCAGGCCTGGTAGCACTCTTGCTAATGACGTAATGAAATTTTGCAGGAGCGACCAAACCATGACTGGGTTCTGCCTGCGATAGGTACTAAAAGTGATGGAATAAAAAGTTCCATCCCCTGATCATCCGGCGAGAAGCAAACCCGCCTCCGAGGGTAGAATGCAAAAAAAGATTGCATCCTGTCCCAATCGGCTGACTTATAATGCCAAACATGGCGGCAACGTGCAGTACGCAACCGCAATGGGAGCTTGCGTGGCACCATAATCCGGATCAGACAATGGTCCGAGGAGCTAAGAGGGGCATTGACGGGGGGACTAATATCCATCCGGATGAGAGTTCATCAAAAGGTCTAACAGGGAAGGTACATGATCTTCCACATCTGGGATCCGCGTAGGCGAGGTAACCAGTTGTGTCAGACTATATGTCAAAGCAAAGTCATAAACAGATCTACCAGCATGATCGGTTAAACGAGAACCAATCCATTCAGCGTAGTGAGCGTTAAAATCACCAAGCATCACAATCTTGGCGAATAGGACCTGTTGTAGCCTGGAGTCTGTAGCCATCTGAACGTAGTCGATGAGTCGGTCTGTGTCAGAATTACCGCTATGGGACCTATAACTATGGTTGTCGTTGTCTATGCGCAGCCATAAGATGGACAGGTCCGTACCTTTAAGGCTGCCGAGGCGTCGGAAATAGATGCCCACTCTAACGTACACGTAAACTCCGGCCCGGGGCACAAAAGAGCGTTATAATTTGCACCTTGGGTAGGAGAGATACGAAGCATCAGCCGGATAGGACACTTGTGTCATGGTTTGAAAGAGCAAGGCCGACTTAAGTTTGAATGAAGTCTCCTGATGTCGCAGAAATTCACGGATAGCGTGGCAGGGGGCTCTTTTAACTTATTGCCCCGTTTGCCCCGAGCAGGCTTAGTCTCGGGCAAAATTTTGCTCCCCCCGGAATACTCGGGGCAGCCTGAGCACCCACGCTCAGGAAAAGTAGGATAACCCTCCTAGGGTAGTTTTTCACTTGATTCCGTTACCATGTTAAGAGGGAGTGGGGAGGAATTGAGCCTCCGGACACCTGCACTCACCAGAAGCAAAGCCTCTACTTCACGCTGGTCTTCTGTGAGGTCGTGATACTACCCCGGTTTAAGCCAGCCCATACGTGCAGCAGTAAAGGCTGTCGCGTGGCTCTACCACTGTTCTGTTCTATTCTTACGTCTGATAGACTGTAATAAATGAATATATTTAGATAATGTTTTGTCCTTTTCAGTTTCCTTTTCGAATATACGTGTTGTGTAGACTAATCATACAAGAATATATGTTATATATAGCCACGCTGCAGCTATATTACAGTTGACGTACGAATGGGTCGCCTCGACCGGAGTAGAAGTACGACATCACAGAATACCAGCGTGAAATGGCAGTGCAATGCTGCTGTGTTTCGTATGGTGAGTGTAGAACACCGTTGACCCTTTTGACTGTAAACCAGGCATTTTATCTTGGTCCTCACGGGTAGTAACGCATCTGCATTTTGATTTTTAATAGGGGATAAATGTAGATATTAGTAATCTATAACCACAAAGAGGGTTAGACATAGGAATGGGGGTTCGAACCCGACTAAGTTCGCGGTCGTGCCCGCCACAGGCCTATAGCAACCACTTACAATCACATGGACCGTGCCCTCGTTTGTCACCTATTTCTATAAAAAAAAGACTTCTGTATCCAACCAAAAATGCCTATTAAAGGTTATTTTATATTTTTTAATTTATTTTAATGTTATCCAATTTCAGAACAATGAATCAACAAATTAAGATCTTCACGAAACAGAGATAATGTGCTACATATGTAACTGCTTAGCTTGGAGTTTAGACATTGTGCAAAGGTTAGCTATTTAAAGCTCCCAGTTTTATAAATTAACAGAAATATTGTAGTCGTAGTTTACTATGCAGCAAAAATAGATAAACCGTATTTTGTACGCTAAGTAAAGGTGAAGACATCTGAACACTATTTTTACTAGTAACGAGGTATTGCATCTAAGTCTTAAATGGTGACAACATTTTGTCTGCATTTTGATTTCATATTAGGTATAAAAAGGTTCAAATCCAGGGTCGAGCAAAGGGTCAGCTAAGGTGCGGGTTTCTTTCAAGAAATTCTCGGTAGTAGTCTGGAGTCAGAAAGTTGGCGGTGTTTTACCCCCGTACCTTAAAAAGCACGTCAAGCCTTTGATCTTGCGCCTGATCTATTTAGTCGTGACATATTGCCGTCTCAACGAACTAGAAGCACTCTCTGACTCTTCTAGTCCGATATGAATGATGCGGCAACCAGCGGGGGGCACACCTTGTTTCCTTGTAGTTAGTTGGGCTTTGAGTTACTCGCGTTTAGCATATAGATCTTGTACGTGTTTGGCTTCATTCTCCGATCGTAGTGGTTTCTGCTCCATTAGACTCAGAAGAGGGAATATGATAGTTTTCGCCTTCGTATGCGCGAGCACTTGTGCACCTAAATATATCCTGCGCTAATGACTTTATTCGAATAACGGCCTCGAGACGTCATAAGCCCAGTGGCGATGGACTAAAGTAGAGATGACACGATGCTTCCTGGCTTTGTCTGAATTCTGCACAAAGGTGGCAGTCTCCGTTCAGACTAGCCACCGTGACCAAAATTCAGTCTGAGTACATTTTATTAATGCTTTTGTTTCGCAGTCCCTACTGTCAGATATCCATACGTCTCACATTGTACAACATTACTTCGGTAGGTTGCAACTATATATTTTTCTTATGTGTATATATATATATATATTTAGCATTCAAGCTTCGTATGGTGATTTTGGTTTTTAAATCTTTGTACAGAAGATTATTATTTTTAAATGCGGAACAATAAAATAAGATTCATTATATACATAAACACGTTCCAATGCTGGCTTTCAAATATAATATGACTTAAAATTTTTATCATCTTTATTATTTTAACATAATTGCTCGATATTTTTATTATTACATTTTGAATATTTAAAGCACTCTACTTTGATATTTTGGAAGACTTTTTATGGAATTAAATTATTTTAGTTATTAATAATATGCGTTATAAGAAAAATAAATACGACTTAGCATAGCTGCTATTTTGCAGTGATATTTTGTGTTTTTTAGAAACAAGATTGATGAGTGATACTCATGAAAGTCTGCAAGATTCACAGAGGGATAAAATTTTTCGAGAAAAGCTTGACGGCTTTTATCGTGTTTGATATACTTCAATTTATATACTGCCGATATTACGTGTACGCGTCTTAAATCTTAATAATCTTCATTCATTAAGCAATAATTATGTTAACATAACATTACATCATATTATCATTATGGTCACAGGGCGATCACTTTCTGCCTCACATGCGTATTGATCTGCATCATATGCATTGGTTTGACCATCTGTATCATTGCTGGCGTTGCGTATGGTTACAACTACTCATTGGCTGAGTTTATTACATTTACTAGTGAGTATTTCAAATTATTAACATGAAAACTGGTTTAAGTGTCACGTGCCACATTAAGTAAAATAGACCCACGTTGATATTTGTTTATCTGTCCGTTAATATCTGTTTATCAGTCACAAATTTTTCTGTGCTATTGTTTATTTTCCATAGTTATAGAATTTATTTACTGCAAATATAAACAGTTAGAAGTTCAAAGTTTACACTTAAAGATTTAGTTAGTTTTATAAGAAATAAAATGGAACATTTAACAAAAAATTTAAGCTGACTCTTAAGAATTAAAAAGAATTAATTAATTTCACAAACTTCAGTCGATGCTATCACATAGGTCTATGTGATATTTTTCTTCTAAGTCTCTCTTTTGAGTTCTTTGAAGTGGGCTTTTCCTTTTTGTATAAATTTTAATTTTGACCAATTGATTGGGTTATGGTAAACATCAGAATATCCTATAAATACTCGTATTTATAAATATGTAAATGTAAGCCCTATTTCCCTGTCCTTAGAGATAGTATTCGATAAAAAACTAATCATTAAAATCGGATAACAATTGACGAAGATAGCGCGTAAGCATAACATTCCATAAAAAAAGCAAACAAAGAAAATACGGCTACAATAAAAACCTCTTTCTTTTTAACATTTATCCTAACGAATGTTTCAAAATTGTCGTCCTGCTCAAAATTGAACTACCTTTGGATTTCCAGGGGGACATAAAAAATAATCTGTAAATATATTATAATGATAACGTAAAAATTAATAAATAAAGAAGATGAGTTTTAAAATTTTACAAAAAATAATGCTACGATAAATGCTTAAATCTCGGACAAAATTACAAAGATCATTTACGAGGAGGGGCTAGTGGCGCGGTCCACTAATTGTTTTAGTAATTTGTGGCTTTTATCCTACGTTATAAAAATCTGTCTTAAAACAAATCGTCTGTTTACAGGGTCTGATGTGACGGTGTACATGCGTCGTGGTCAAATGAACGATCGTCCGGATTTAGCTCAGTTTGGACAGCGACGAATGAACGATGAATCTGAGAGTATCTATTTACTTTAAATTAAATAAATATAACTTACACATTTTTGTGTTTTGTATTCACTCGTTCATTTTTTTTTTCATTCATTGCAGCCTATCAAAAGTCTACTGTTGAACATAGTTCTCCCCTATGGATTGCCTTATTGCGAGGATTTCGTCATAACATGACGCTTGATGGATGGGTGGGTAACCGACTATTTGGAGCTGTTATCAGGAAAATGCTGCTGCCCATCTACTTCTTCAGTTTCCTTGTATTGCCTCTAACGATACCCACAGGACGATATGGGATAATGGATTTATGTTCTTACACCGCTATTAGTTGTTTTCCATTTTACATTGCAATAATTAAATGGAATTGTTTGTGTTGTGCTAACCGATCACTGGATTTGTACGTTATAGAGCCACGCTGCATCTATATTATGCTGTAGAATATGCGAATGAGTAGCTGGAAGGAGCGTAGTGAAGATCACGCTTTCATAAAATAGTGTTAAGAAGAAATTTACACTCCTATGTTTCGTAAGGCGAGTGTATAAAATCAAATACCTTTTTTACTGGTAATGAGACATTATTCAGAGATATAGGCCACAGCATTCCACTTACCATCAGGTGATGTGTGCTTATTTATCAACCTCACCTCACCCATTTAAAAATAAAATTATATTTATTGTTTTGTTATTTTTCTTATGAATTTTCGCAGCCATTGCAAACGTTAGTACAGACTATCAGGATAATGAACCTTCAAGTGGTGAGAAAATACCCCTTTCTGACACATGGGTAAAATCTCAAGATGCCAGGAAATATGCTGAAAGACTTACCAAGTTTTCTGATACGAAAAGTTCAAAAAGTGATATCGAAGAAGAGGAACAAGTAACAGAGGTTTAATTGAAATATATTTAAAGTTATATACATTTATTAAACAAAATTACAAGCCCTTTCAATTTTGCAAAAAAATGTCTCATATAACCTGAAAATAGTATTTTAAGTATCTCTCTCCTTAATTTACAGGGTTCAGTAAGCTATTACAGATTTACAACGCCACCAATTCATCGAATATCAATCGTCCCTAATCCGGCAATTCCAACGACGGTATGGCAAAGTGGTAGTTCTGAAATAGTGATGAGAAGGTTTCCACCAATGAAAGATATTACCTCTAATTTAAAGACAAGTGACCCTGACGACTATTTCTATAAAGTTAGTGATGTGGATGATAAAGATAAAATTAAATCGAAAATGAAAATTAACAGAGATGAAGCAGAACAATCCGATGACAAAAGCAACCCGGGAGATATTTCTACAAGGTGATAAAATTATAAGCATTGATGTAAATTACTTTTTAATAATAAATAGGAATCATGAGTTTTACATTAAAACTTCACTTCAAAATTTGCCTTCAAGAGATACATCCGTATCCACTATCTACCTGTTAGTTCTATAACGTGTAATGAAAATATTTTACGACATAAGATTTAATATTTTTTTTAATAATAAAGACATAATTTTACATAAACTTGATCTTTATTTGTTTATGTTATTGTTAGTGGTATATATTTGAGGATATATGTGTATATATATATATGTATGTGTGTATGTGTATGTATGTATATGTATGGATATATATATGTGTATATGTGGGTGTGTATGTTTATTTATATACGTATGTATATGTGTATCATATATTTTTAATGTATTAGTTATTTATATGTTATTTTATTGCATGTATTGATATCATATTAGGTACCAGGCGGTCCCATAATGAACTGGCCTGATATAGTTCAACGCGACATGTCGCTACATGTCGTGTTGCATTAAATAGTACGTTTATCGTGCACTTAATATAAGAAACATGCATCGACATGAAATGCTTAGTCTTAGTATAACAGGCATTTGAATAACGAGAGTCGCGTATTTTTTCAAAATGTCGAAAACTGAGTATCGAAGGGTCATAAAGTTTCTGTTTAAAGAAGGTTTATCCCCTGCCCAAATAAAAGAACGATTGGATGGCGCGTATAAGGAGTCTGCCCTCTCCTATAGCACAGTGAAAAATTGGGTGAAAGAGTTTCGCCTCGGGAGAGAAACCGTCGAAGACTTTGGCCACGACGGTCGACCTGTGGAAGTGCTCACTCCCGAAACGATTGCTCTTATCGAAGAGGAGGTTCCGAGTGACCGCCGTTTGAAGATTAGAGAAATTGCACCATGGCTTGGGCTCTCTAAGGGTACCGTTCATCGCGCGATCCATGAACATCTTCACATGAAAAAAGTGAGTGCAAGATGGGTACCGAAACTTCTTTCAGCGGTACAGAGACAGGAAAGAGTGCGCTGCGCTTCGGAGTTTTTGGATCTTTGTGGCGAAAATCCAAAGACTGTGATCGAGCGGCTAGTGACTGGTGATGAAACTATGATCTTGTATTATGATCCACAAAGCAAGCGCGAGTCAATGGAATGGCGTTATAAGGGTGAAAAGCCCCCTAGAAAGGCAAAGGTGCAACAATCGACTAAAAAACAGATGTGCACAATATTTTGGGATTTTCAAGGCATTTTGACGGTGGATTTTAAAGAACGTAATACAGTCGTGGACGGCGAATATTATGCTTCTTTAATATATAAATTACGAGACAAGATAAAGGAAAAACGAAGAGGCAAGCTGTCTATAGGTGTCCTGTTGCTCCATGACAACGCCCCTGTTCATACCGCTGGTGTTTCGAAGGATGCAGTTCGTCAATGCGGGTTCACAGAAGTTCAACATCCTCCTTTCAGTCCAGACATGGCCCCGTCCGACTATTATTTATTTCCAAATTTAAAGCGGGACTTAAGAGGAAGAAAATTTTCAAGCGATGAAGAGTTGCAGGCGGCCGTCTTCAGTCATTTTGAGGATAAAAAATGTGATTATTTTTGTAAAGGTTTAGAGATGTTGATTCACAGATGTCAGAAGTGTGTTAGTATTCATGGTGATTATATTGAAAAATAAAATTGGTTTCGTTTCATTTCCTTCATTGGTTCATAGTTAGGCCAATTCATTATGGGACCGCCTACGTATATTTATATTGCACCACCTACCTAGTACTCACTGTTTTATTCCTTTACACCTTTGGTTGCCTGGAAGAGATCGCTATGTAGCGATAAGGCCGCCAAATTGTACATGTAATCTGCTCTCTATTATGATCTTTGTAAATTTGTTTGTGGTGTGCAATAAAGTATATTCATTCATTCATGCATTCATCTCTTGAAAATTTATTAACGGAAATTAGTCGTCTCGCACCCTTGGGGATTGTGCCTCGTCGTCGGTCTGTTTGTTTTCGACCTGGCATATCATCTTCATGATTATCATTAACACCTAAAATCTCTGCTAGATATGGGCCTCTCTCGTTATAGAAACAATTTTCCCCAATCGTCACACTTGACAAACGGATCGACAATCGCAATTTCAGATGTCTAGCACCTTTGACGCTACTCTTCGTCGCCAATCCAATCCTATAAAAAAAATCTGGAAAATTTAGGTCGTATTCGAACGAGACACCAACGGGATATATGAAGGAATATGGCAGTGATGGGTGTAGAAAGTGTCGTAAAAATGTTTTCTTTGGTGTCATTATCCAGAACGTAAACAGAGGAACACGTTTGTATGGATTAAAAGCTGCCCAGATATCCTCTTAATATCCACTTATCATATACCAGTGCCTCAGAAAATTTAACTGTGTTTTTTTTTACAGGCATTCAATACCTATGCGACATTTTGAAGGGAGTGCAACAGAGATGGATGATGAAAATATGTCCTATAAACCTGTTTAAAATGTAAGAGTTTGGTACCAACTGTTAATTAAAATTGTGTTTTTATTTGTTTTTTTTTTCATTTTACATCATACGATTTCTAAGAGAAATATTAATCCTTATAAATGTATATTTGAATAACCATGTTTTGCCATGTATTTTAAATAGCAATCACATAAAAATGATTTTATTTATCATACTAACTATGCTTTGCTTTGGTACACACCTAGTTAAAAAAAACATTGTGCTATTTTGTCACACCAAGTATGTACGTCATTAAATAAGTTATCGCCACGCGAACCGATTGAACATGCAGTACATGTACCGCCGATTCGTAACTTCGACCAATAAATAAACTTACAGAAGTTTTTCCATGGAAAAACTTCTGTAAGTTTATTTGTACTGTGGGATGTTATTGAATAATTATATTTTGTAGCAATAAACAATAAATAAATAAAAAATAAAATAAATAAACAACCTTTGAGCCTTTTTACTGGTAAATATGCGTACCATTTAGAGCTTAAGAGTGACAAAGCATCTGTACTATTTTAATTCTTAATCAAGAATAGATGTATATGCCTATTGGCCACGGCATTCTCTTACCAACCAGTAGACTGTATACTCGTTTGTCAGCCTTACTATATAAAAAATGTAGGAGCAATTTTCATTATGCAATTAAGACGAAAAAACTATCCCACTTATGCTACTCAAACAGAGCAAAAGCGTTAAGATAACATGAGAGGTTTACTTTTACATCTGTAACGTAATACTCAACTAAACTGTTCTTAGTCTTTTATTAGATCTAATATAGAAAAGGCTAATTGAAGTGTCGAACCTTTTTGAAGTAAACAGAATAATGTGTTTTTGGAATATTTTCACATGAAGATGTTATAAACGGCAATTTAAACTTGTCCCCTTATTCACATTTATGTTTAGTAGGGTTTTAAGCATACTTGAAGGGTGTTGTTAGAGTTTTTTTTTAAATTTGCTGATGATTATAGTCATGTAATTACACAACATGTATCGATAAAAGTATGAAGAGCACGGCTCACTCTCACGGATAATATATATATATATATTATATATATATATATATATATGTCTTACTAATCTGATCTTGAATCGTACAAACAAAACCGTCGGTTTTCCCACAGAAGTCATTAAAACGTAGTATCTACAAAAGGCTCGTATAGAGCCTTGTAGAACCTTCCGTGGAGCTTCTTCTCATATCATACCATCTCCAGGTCGGAGAAGTTCTGTACTGCCGAGTCCTATTTATACACGTTGGCATACGATAGATAAGATCCCTTTATGACACGAAATGACGTCCTTGTAGTAGGGATCGTCCAACCTTGTCAGGAAGTAATTACAAAGTCGGCACTTTTCGCGATTATGCATGGTGAAAGCGTTTAGAAAGCTACAATTTTATTCCCGGTGATCCCAGGTTTTCGATAATGAAGCTATACTTGCCGTGATGCATCTTGTGGGAATTCATTACAGTGCGGAATTTTCTATCTCCGACATTAAGTTTGGTATGAATTCAAATGAGTACGCCAAAGGTACGTTTTATACGTGGTAGAGCCATGCAGCAGTTATATTAGTTCGCTCTCACAGAATACCAGCGTTATGCTGTTATTTTTCTTATGGTGAGTGTAGAGAACCGGGGACCCTTTTTACTGGAAACTAGGCATTCGATCTTAGTTCTCATGGGTGACAACGCATCTGCATTTTGATTCGTAATCGAGGATAGATGTTGGTAATCGAGGATAGATATGGGCCACAGCAACCACTTACCATCAGGTAGACTGTGTGCTCGTTTGTCACCCTATGCTATAAAAAAATACATGAGAACGGGAATGACCTAACCCTTATTTACGCCTACCTTATTTACACCCTACACCAGACTGGTAATCACTTTTGTCAAGCGTGCAAAAGCAGATCGCGAACTGATTTCTCGCTCATCCCCGTTTTGTGACATACCTGGTATATCGGAATGTTACAGTTCATTATTATTTTTTCTATCCACAGAACTATGCTACGTTGTTACCATTGGCGATCCAGACGGTGTAGCTGCATGCCATGATGTTTATGAAGATCATATAGACATCAGTACTTGTATACTATTGGTAAAAGATGTAATGTCTAGAGGGAGCCGTGCTCTTTAAACTTTTATCAACACATGTTGTGTAATTACATGACTATAATCATCAGCAAATTAAGAAAAATACACTAACAGCATCCTTCAAGTATGCTTAAAATCCTACTAAACATAAATGTGAATAAGGGGACAAGTTTAAATTGACATATATATATATATATATATATATATATATATATATATATATATATATATATATATATATATATAATAACATAACATAAACAGTCACGCCTGTCACCCAGAGGGGTAGGCAGAGACTACAGACTTCCATTTAGCACGATCCTGACATACCTTTCTCGCCTCTTCCACATCCATATACCTACGCATACATGCTCGTCGGTTAAGGGTACTCTTAATTTGGCCCATTTTTAGTATATCGCCAATTTGGTCGACAAACTTCCGCCTAGGACGTCCCTTTCCGACTCTTCCATTCACTTCTGCAACATATATTTGCTTTGTCAGTCTTTCCGCATTCATTCTTTCTACATGACTAAACCACCGAAGCATTCCTTTCTTAATCCTGGTCACCGCATCATCTTGCAAACCACACTCTTCTTTTATCACACAGTTTCTCACCCTGTCACTCAGATTCAGCCCTAACATACTCCTTAGCGACCGCATTTCTACTGCATTTATTCTACATATTTATATCATCATTCATCATTCTCTATACCATTTCCCATTATCTGGGGTCGGCGCAGTAAATCTTTTTGTTCCATTCCTCTCTATCAGCCGTCATTTCCATACTTACTCCTTTCATTCTCATATCACTCTTCACATAATCGATCCATCTTTTATTCGGCCTTCCTCTGCCCGTGTGTCCCTCCACATTCATATTCAACACTCGTTTTGTGACATGACTTTCATTCCTCCGCATCACATGCCCAAACCATGCCAATCTGCTTCCTCTCACCTTTTCTACCACTGGCGCTACTTTCAGGCTTCCTCTTATATACTCATTCCTTATTTTATCCATCCTTGTCACACCACACATCCATCGTAACATTCTCATTTCATTCGCATTCAGTCTATTTTCATCCTTCTTCTTGACGGCCCAGCATTCACTTCCATACATGACGACAGGTCGGATGATCGATTTGTAAATTTTCCCCTTCAGCCTTATCGGCATTCGGGGATCGCACGTTGTGGCTGTGACCTGTCGCCATTTCATCCACCCTGCGTTAATCCTATGCTGCACAGCTCTATCTATTCCGCCGTCGCCTTGAATGAGGGAACCGAGGTACTTGACATCTGAGCAGATAGGCAGTATAGCGCCATCCAACGACATGGGTACAGGACTGGAAAGACCGCCGAAATCACAGCACAGATATTCGGTTTTGGATCTGCTGATCTTCAAGCCAACACTTTCCAGCCTCCGTTGCCACCCCGTCAGTCTGCTCTGTACCTCAATGCCTTCTTCCCCGACAAGCACGATGTCATCGGCAAAGAGCATGCACCAGGGTGCCTCATCCTGCAGGTCCGACGTCAAAGCGTCCATAATCAGTAGGAAGAGGTAAGGGCTCAGTGCCGACCCTTGGTGCAGCCCTACCGCCACATCGATACTGCCCGTAGTTCCCGCGGCAGATCGTACACATGTACGGGATGCTCTGTACATAGCACGGACTACCCTCACATACTTCCCAGGCATACCTTTCATCTTTAACGCCCACCACAAAACCTCACGGGGAACCCGATCGTACGCCTTTTCAAGGTCGACAAAAACCATGTGCAGATTTTTATGCACGCGCTTGTACTTTTCGCACAATTGGCGTAATGCGAAAATGGCATCTGTCGTACCTCGACCGGGCATGAATCCGAACTGGTTTTGTGTTATCTCACACTCTTCTCTCATTCTTCTCTCTATTATTCTTTCCCAGACTTTCATTGTATGTGACATGAGTTTTATTCCCCGGTAACTGCTGCAGTTTTGAACGTCTCCTTTGTTTTTAAAAATGGGGACCAGTATACTACTGCACCATTCCTCAGGTATTTGTTCATCCTGCAACAATTTACCGAAAAATAAACTCAACCACTTCCATCCATCCGCACTCAGCAACTTCCACACTTCTACTGGTATTCCATCTGGGCCGACCGCCTTCCCATTCTTCATATTCCTAACAGCCATTTTTACTTCTTCCACACTAATTTCTCTCACTAAGCCCATATTCACTGGTGGGTTTTCAAGCATACCATTCCATTCATTCTCCTCATTCATCAATTTCTCAAAATACTCCTTCCATCGCTCCTTTATACTTTCATCGTCAGTCAAAATCCTTCCAGAATCATCTTTTATACATTTTACATGTGAAACATCTCTTCCATTCCTTTCTCTCGCTCTTGCAATTTGAAAAAGTCGTTTTTGACCTTCGGGGCTTTCGAGGGACCGATATAATTTATCTTGCGCCTCTGCCCTACAAATAGCAACTTCCTTCTTCGCTCTCTTCTTACATTCTTTATACGCCCCTCTCTTACTTTCTTTTATGGATTCATTCTGGTCTTCTACGCTCTGCCATTCTTTAAAGGCATTTTTCTTTTCTCTCAAAACTTCTCTAATACTTTCACTCCACCACCACCCATCTTTATCTACCATACGCTTCCCTTTTGTTTCTCCTAACACCTTCCTTGCCACACTTCGGATACAATCAGCCATTTCCTTCCAGCACTCATTCACACTCATTCCTTCCATATCACCCTACTCTATCATCTTGTTTACAACTAGCTCTCTAAATTCGCTTGCATACTCCTCCTTATGCAACAAATGCCACTTTATTTTGGGTGGGGGACGATCCTTATGTTTGTTGAGGCGAACAGTTAAGCAGATGTCAGCCAGCAGAATTCGGTGCTGGGATACTAAGTCTTC